ATTCATCTAATATTCTGTGACTGCCTCTAATTTAAGGCTTTGCTCCCCTGGGCAATGAGATCTTTAAGTACCTTTGGGAGGACTTCAGAATTGAACCATCATGAATTTTATGGATTTTATGGCATCTAAAGGGGCAATAGCAGACGTGTAAACATTCAGTTAAATGGGTAGACATTTGGAAAACAGTTTGAGAAATGGGGATTTATGTCTGAGCTTCAAGACAAGACATATATTTTAAGAAATGCAATGGGCTATTTCTCTGAGCATCTTGTTATTAGTGTCACTCATAATGACTGGTGTCAGGCCTAAATCCATAACCTTCCCAAAGAAAACAAAGAAAACATCTGGAAACAATTTATAAGATTCTTAGTACTAGGCTTTTTCACTTTCTAATGTTGTATAACTAGATGAACCTTTTCAGTAAGTAGTTGCTTCATTTTCCCAGTGAGAAAACTGAGGCCCAAAGAAATTAAATGCCCAAAATCATGTGCAGAAGTGGCAAGATTGGAACTTAAGTCCATTTTCTTAATTTCATTGAATTATCCAGTGCCATGGACCTTAGAAGAAATTCTACCCAACTTGTCTATTTTCAGGCTTAAAGAATGGAATGTGAAAAATAGATATTCTATTCTTGAAACATAACTGATATGGTAAAGATTTTAGGGTCTCTTACAACTACAACTTCATGATCAGGTGAAATATATGAGCTGTGTTTCTTTAAAGAGGTGGCAACTGCAGAGATTTTAACGTCAAAATCTGTGTCCCCTGGGCAACTGGTTCTCATTGGGGTGGGTTGGGGGGTTGGGGCTCCCCTGACCTTGAGGCAGCTGCCATGGCCCCGCCAGCTCAGTGTCAACCAGAGCAGCTGCCAAGTAAATCCACCAAATAGGGAGACATTTCTCTGGAAATCTCTGTTCCTTGAACTGCTCTGATTAAATGGTTTAGACAAATTCTTCCCCACAAGGCCACTAAGCTTCACTGGAAAGGAAGAAGGGGAATAGGGAGGGGCTTCCATTGTTGCAGCTCCCACTTCTGCAAATATCTGTGTTTGTATCTGTGTATCTATATCTATATCTATAGATCTGTATTTTGAGGTTGACCAAGGCATGGTATAATTATTCAAAATAAATTTTAAAACTAACACATGAAGTAGATAAAATGTTTCCACCAGACTAAGCGTACAGCAGGTATGGTCTAGAGGGGTGAAAACTTGAGGGTGATTTTGCAACCAAAGACTGATTCACATTTAAGGGTTTGCATGGTGTGACCTTTTTCATGGGGTCTTCTAGGGGTTTCTAGGTGTGACCCAGAATTGTTTTTCCTGCAGAAGAATCTATTTTCTATGAGATTCAAATTTGCCCTGAGACTGAATCCAAACCTTGTTAAGAAATAAAGTTTGGATTGAGAATGAGAGTGGGGCAGGCAACAGTGCTCCTCTGATCTAAAAAAGCAGAATCTCCATTCACCACTGGGAGAGGACTGATGTCTGGTTTTTGCCCTAACAGTTTCTAACACACAATCCACCTGTACGATTAGGTGAAGAGAGAAGGTACATGATGAAGGAGAGATTGTAGGCATCAGAGGTCACAGGCATCAAAAGCAAGGGCGTATTTCACTGTGTGAATGGCCATGAGGAAAGCACCTGAAGCAGAACATTTGCCTTCTTAAAAGGGTTGCAGTTTCACCGACGCAGACTGTTGTAAGGTTACAGATTAACAAGTGAGCCTGAGAGGCTTCTGAGATTCTAGGCAACCTCATACAGTAAAGAGAGGTAAGGTCAGGGAATCCAGGAGAACTTTTGTACCATATCTTAAATGTCCAGGGAAATACATGTTGAACTGTGAAATTACAACAAGGTAACCGTGCATTGGAACTCCAGAGCAGGGTTCTGAGGTGATGAAGGTCAATCAGGCCTGCAAAAAATTCACTGAGGCCAGGATATGATACTGCTGTGAAGTCTCCATGACCTGTCCATATGAGACAGGGATCACAGAGAGGTACTCACTTGTGAATAGATTTCCTTCTTTAAGTGAAAGGCCCTTAAACAACAACTACAAAGCAAGGTTCCTTGAAATACCGAATGTCAATTCACCCTACCTCACTCCAGCCCCACCTACCTCGCTCTCATCTCGCCAGAGAGGCACATGAATGTCTGCATACATAACATGGGCTCAGTGGACAGCAGACAAGAAGCATGACTCTCCCTGTGCAACCTCAGGAAAGCATTACAAGGATATATGGCAATGAGGCCCAAAACCTGAATTCTCAGCATGTAAACTAAAATCATCAATTTTTCAGATCCACAGTTATCAGGATATCCCATTACAGCATGGAGTTTTCCCTGTCCCCATTTGTCCCACTGAGTCCACAGCCAATACTCCCACCCACTGCTCTTCACTACAGATAATGACAAGAGGAGGGGTATGCACCTGAGCAGATTATAAGGACACTCAGAAGATTCTAGGCTATGCAGGTTTCTGGCTGACTATTAGCCACTGGGAGCAGGTCCTACTTACATGTAGTTAGAGACATGACAGGGATCCATGGAGATGCTACTGTCACTGCTGTGCAGACAACCAATGAGGCAGACAGGAACTATGGTGGGAGCTTCCATGACATAGCAGAGATAATATCAACCCAGAGAAAATGCACTGAGCTAGAGAGCTGAGGCCATTCAGCACCAGTCACCCTGCATTACTGCTGAGCTTCAGGCACAGGGAAGTGGGTCTCAGGTCCAACAGGGTCATTGACTCAAAAGTACATGGGATTTGAATCTTTAAATATTATTAATTAAACTGATCCTATTCAACTGGCTATTAAGGAGTAAGTATCAGTTCCTAAGCAAACCTCATAATAGTAATCAAGAAAAGGCTCAACTATGAGAAAGGTGTCTCAAAAATAATATGCCTTTTGTTGGCTTCATGACTTTTTTATGGCTCTAATTCTTTATGGCTGGTAGATGAACACTGACCTCCTGGCTCTTTAACATTCAGCTCTCACCTGCCTGAAGTCCCCATAGTGTCACCGCACCCAGGGCATCTTTCTCTAAGGCCCTCCTCTCCTACGAGAGACACTGTAGAGTCTGAGAGTTTAAAGAGAACTGAGAACACACCTATCCCCACCTGCTCACCAGCGTAAGAACTGCCCACATATCCTTAACAGAAGTCATCTGGCCACCTCCTGGGCACCTCCAGTGTAAGCAGATGAAATACTGCTACGTAATCTAGAAACCCTACATATTGCTGAATGACTCTGGGTACTCCCTTTAAGATCAGTGAATCCTCACAACATTATGGGTACCTTTTGAAATTATCTTCCCCTACTGGCCACACTGGAAAGTTCATTCCTATCAGATTACTGAATAATTGCCCACTGAGTCACTGTTCTGAGTCGGGGTTCCCCTTCATGCAGAATGAGACAAAGGAGCAATTCTCAGGAAAGTGCCTCAAGAAAGTGGTTGCCTTGCAGGGAGCTTGAGGCCACAGGCATTGTCTAGGAAAATGGTTCTTTTTAGATGGCTAAGCCTCACAGTTGGGGAGAACTACATCTCTGGGCCTGTAAGAAGAGGAACATTATAGGAGAAATTACATGAGATTGTTAGTATAGGGAAAAGAAAATATTTCCTACCCATTAAAGTAAAAATCAAGCACTGAATCTGACGCCAGATGTAGTGAAGTGTAAGAAAAGCCAAAAGTGCTAGGCAGATTGCTAACTCCTGTGAGAAAACAAGAAGAAAGCTTCACTGATGTTATCACAAATAATATTTTCCAACATCATTTAGATGGAATTTTCATTTTGGTTTGGAGTCTTATTATGTGCTCCTATTATGGAGTATTCCACTACTATTTACAGAAAACAGTTCCTCCTGACTCAGCTTCCATTAAATATGTAAGAAATCACAGAAACTTTGTAGAAAGTCTCATACATTTTCTAAAAAGTTCTCCACTCCATTATTTTAACTCAAAATCTACCTCAAAATATTTTTTTGTCATTTTTCATCTGTGAAAATAAATACATGACACAAATCATGCCACTTTTAATTCTCCAAAAATCATTTTCTTTTACTATGTTGTGAAACTAAGGTTTCACTTGAACAGTCAAGATAATAATTTAATTTCTTATTTTTGAACAAAATTGTTGTTAATCACCTGGATGACACAGGAACACAGAACTAGAGAGTATTTCCTCAAAAGCCCCTTGTTGGGGCAATGCTCACCCCCACACATCATTTAAGAATGCTCATGGGTATGGAGTTAGCATGAACATTCTTGTAAAGACATTGTGGAAGATTTCTCCTATGGAGTCTTTGAGCCATGCAGACATCTAACCCAGTGTTAGGAAGAAGACATGGACTTCAAACTTTCATTATAAAAAGCAAAAAAAAAAAAAAGAATTATTAAGTGGCCCTTAAAAAAAATCCAATGGAGGAAAACCTGTGTGCTTTTTTGCTCCCAGGAGCACATGCTTAGGAAGCACTGGTTTAATCAAGCTAAGACTGTCTAGCCATAGCCCTCACATTCCCAGAATCCATGAATCAGAGGTTATTTTCCAGAGCAGGCTTAGAAATCAATTGAAATGTGCTCCTTCAGGGTTGCTGGGAACCACACAAAAGAAGGTGATTAGTTTTAGGAAGCCCAAGGAGAACACAGAAAAGGCTGAGCAAGGGCAAGTGGCCTTCACAAAGGGGAGCCAGGTTCACCAGCCAGTCTCTGCAGACAAAGCAGCTTTCAACTGCATGCCTAAGGGCCAGGCTCGTTTGTGCCCCCCTCCCCTGGGAAGCCAAGTGTGAGGTCACCATGCACCGGTGGAGTGAAGTCAAATGTTTTTCTTTTATATAAAGCTTCATAGTCAAGTCAACATTGGGGGAAGAGTTGTTTCTGTGTTTTCCCCGAAGTCACAGTTTCTCTCTACCCTTTGAAAGTCCTACTTTCTTGCCATGATTCTAGGGGGCCCCGAGGCGGCAAGTAGAAACACTAAGACACGAGAGCATCAACACTGACCTGAGAAGTAGCTGCAGGTGAACTAGTTTCCTTACCACTCACTGCCGCCCTCTCACTGGCTGCAGCTTCTGCCACTTCTGCCTTCTGCACACTGGAATTCTCAGAACCCGGAGGCCCTACTCGCCCCAGACCTTCGCTCCCTGAGGTGAAAGGTGGGCTGGCGGTGGCTTTCCGGGTTTGGCCTTTATACCAACTAGGGTAAAACAAAGGATCCGCAGTGTCCGTTGCTGCAGGGACTGGAGTTTCAGACTCTGTGGTCTGCTGAGAGCCAGTGGGGACAACCTCCCCCTTCATCAGGACAGATAAATTCCAAAGTAGAAAAAAAAAAAAGAGAGAGAGAGAAAAGAAAAAGCAGTTGATTTTAGTTCCCCTCAAGTTTGCAGTCTGTGAGCTCTCTGTTCAGGGCCTGATTTAGTGTGTCTCAGCTCATCCCATCCTCCACCAGTGCTAAGGGAAGGAATGCTGACAGCACCCCTCTGTCTCAGCATCTGCATGTGTCGCCTCTTCTTTTCTGAGCTTTTCTTTTCACTAGATGGCAACCTGGGCAGGCAGACAGCAGAAGCTTCAAATGAAAGATGCTTATAAAATAACCAATATGGGAGAAAGGTCAAACTATTGACCAGAATTGATTTTTTGATATCATATGTGGGCTCCCCAAAACTCTTTTCTAAAACCAAAAATTGATCTTATTGATCAGATCCAACTCTCATTTAGTTACTACACCCTTCTTCAATTTCAGTGCAATTGGTATGCCCAGAATTTCAAGATTCTAGGAACTATAATCCTATGGAGACAGAACATAAACTATAATCCCATCTATGAGTTCATACTCGGAGGTTTTGTTTCTATAGATCATTTTAACTCGCTTTGAAAGCAGGTGCAAAACCAGGGACCCTATTTGATGAGTCTGAATTGCTCACAAACTCAGTGGGTTGGGACCTGTCTGCCAAAGGTATCATGCAGTCAGTCAAAGGCTTGAAAACTGGATGGTGCTGTCTTAGAAACATAAGGTCAGCCAATCAGTTACAGAATTTGGAATGAGCTTACATCCTAAGAAATGTTTTAAACAATTCTGTCAACACATAATGTCAACAAATGACAGATAGACAGAAAATTAAGCTTTTGTTTGTCCACTGGATGAAAGATTTAGTTATATTTCAGGGTTAACAACAGACACATAAACCATAAACCAGCATGGCTTTTTTACTTTATTTACTTCTATTACCTATAGAAAAGTCAGTTATGAAAGTATAATCATTTTTATTTCTTACCCTATATTATTTCTCACCCTGTACCTTATATCTGTATTCAGAGCATATCCAATCCTCATGATTTTGGCTATCTATGAAATAACATGTTATACATACCACACAGACACAATTTCCAAAGATTGCCTCAGATTTGAGGGTGTTACTGGTGTCAAACTAAGTCTTGCCAACCAGTTGTAACAACAAGCCTACTGGATCACCTAGAGGCCTTTTGCTTTTCTCCCTGCCAATGTGGCTGCCCTGACATCTTTTGTCTTCCACATACAAATGTCTGCCATATTGTCATCCTTTTCTGAAGGTAGAATGATTTGTTCAGCAAGGAGGCACACCTGTATGCCCCGTAGGAGGGAACTTGTAAACGGTTACCTGTGTCACTGGGGCATCTACAGCAGCTGGAGGTGGCTCTGGAGAGGAAGGCAGAGGTGGCCCCGGGGCAGGCCGGATCTCAGGGGCCAGCTGAGCGGGTTCCGAGGCTTTCTCCAAACTTTCATCTTCTCCTGATGACTCCATTCGAACATTTTCTACGTCTTCCACTTCTACTACTTCTCCCCCCAATTCTCCTTCTGCTCCTCCTCCTCCTTCTCCTTCTTCTTCTCCTTCTTCTTCTTCCTCTTCTTCCTCTTCTGGTAAGTCAATATATTTAAAAAGTCATTAGAATTACCACTACAGCTATGAAGACAATTTGTGAGGCCAGTGCTTATAGCCCAGATTAAGGTCAGGGCCAAGGAAAGCCTCTCTGTCAGACGCTTGACAGTGGCCCACTCATGACATGTACCCCCAGCAATGTGGGTAGGACCAAGGTGATGGGGGGCCCTGGCCTCACCATCCTTCTCGCTCCCCTTCCCAGTACAAAGCGCAGTTCTCATCACCACTGTGCACCATGCACCTGATGCCCAGAGTCTGTTCACATTTTTATCATACTCCATCACATCTTCAAGGTCCTGGTGGACAGGGATTGGCATTTATTTATCTCTGGAATAATAGCTGATTGGAAATTGAACTCTCTTTCCTACCACAAAAAACATACAAGACCCTTGTCTTGTTTTAATTTCTCACTTCCTTTGTTTAGTGAACACTGACTTTTGTCACAAAGCCATGACTTTTCCTAAACCATTCATATTAATATTCTCTCAGGCAATATTAAGGAGAGAGCAATACTATGTAATATTTTTTAAATATCCATCCTGAAGATTTGCTTCTAAAGTTACATGTGCAGACAATGATAGAGCTTCATGGCCTTGTTAGGTCTAGCTGAGGAGTC